TTTCAGAAGACCACATCTGCTAGCCTTCATAGCCTCCATCTTAACAGTTCTGCTTGCTAACGTGTTAATTAAGATCTACATTACATTAGCCACATAAATACTTAATAAGATTAATCCACCTGGAAAATGATGGCTTGTCTTGATTAAACTGAAGGAAGGTAAGAGAAGTGACATTTAAAACACACTGACTGCTATTACATTCTGATCGTCTGTTTCAAGGCGTCTGACAGGAAACAGCAGAACCGGGAGATTCATGTTGTTTACATTGTTAATGAGGGATGAGTTTATCTTTTACAAGGCGACAGAGAGTTCCCTGCAGCTGCTGCCGAGTCCTTGCCCCGTGTGCTGGGTGGGTTTCAGCAGGAGCACAGTCGGGGGCAGCACTGCTGCCTCAGGCAGTGACTCACGAGCTGCTCTGTTGGCATCTGAGCCCCAGCTCATCCCTCTGGCAGGATGGCACATCCTCCCCTCTCAGAATCCTGTCACTCCTCTAGCACTGCCTGTGTGCTGCATCGCTAATAAAATATCTGAGCTAGTAGAAAACAATTTGTGTGCAGCCCAAAATGTGACTCGCAGCTGCAGCATCTGGCAGAGCTCTCAGCGTCATTTGGAGAGAGCTGGAGACAACCTGTACAGCCCCACAATGACTGCTGAGCTCAGCTTCCCACATCCATCCAAGGACAATTTCTGCTACATCAGTAGAAATCTGGTTTTCCTCTCTCTCACAGCTCAAGCAAGTGAGGTGGTGCCAAATTTAACAGCTAATTAAATTTTCTTCGTTTCATTATTGACATTATATTTGCAATTCTGAATTTGGTATCTGGAAACAAGTATTTTTCATGACACTTCAGTACTTTAATATTTAATAACTGCAATATTTTTTGAAAAAAAAAAGTCTTTCTGAAATCCACATACACTGTGGTAGACTTTGTGAAATACTTCAAACTGAGCATGAGCTTGGATCAGGTTGGTTCATCCAAAGAGAAGCAAACCCTGGATTATGTGAATATCAAAATTCCTATCAACTTTTTTCCAAAGAGTCAGTGTATTTATTGTACCTAAATTCATCTTTCTACAACTGTCCACAATTACTTTTGGTGTCTTTTAAAATAGGAGGTTCTAGAATCAGAGATCACAATCTCTTCCTGTGAGAAGAGATTCTCTTCCTTTTCAGCCTTCTAGAGCATTACTATAGCAAACAATCAAGATAAAAAGTACTAAGAGAGTTTTGAATTACTATAAAATTTGCTAGATTTCTGAGCACATCAAAGACAATATGTCCTAAATGAAAAAGTTGACACCAAAGCATTCTTTATATGGGTTTTCAGCTGGGGTTAGTGTAGGTGTGTTCTGTCAATTAAAAACATGGTCACAGATTTTATGGAAATGTGTGTCTAACCCACCACATAATTTTAAATCTAGAAAACTTTTGGCATAGATTAATAGAATTCAGATACAGATAAATCCCATAAGGTCATCTATTTCACTGCTTTTTGAAGAAATAATTATTCCCAAACATGCCTCTTTTCTTTTCCCCCACTTTCCCCCTTAATTTAGATTACACCCAAATTCTAACATTATCCTTATGCAACATAAGAGATAAATGGGCTTTACTCAGAAAGTTTTTTAATGTCATAATAATCTATCTCATCCCCATAGAAATTCCAAGGCAGTATCAATTTTTGAGGTTTTATGCACTATGAAGGGTTACTGCCTTATGATCCGTATTAGGAAGGGAATTTTTGTCTGCTAATTTAAATCCCTACTCGAACACAACTTTCACAGCATGGTGGACTTCACTTGCAGTTTTAAAGCAGCACTGGGGATTTTTCTGCCCATTGCACTTGCCTCCTCCTTTCAGACATACCCACTATTAGCGAGATGTAGTGTGTAATTACAAAAAACCTGAAACTGTGTTATCTTAATAGTGAATTTTGTTTTCATTCAGATAGGAAAATGCAGTAATAAAGTAATTTACATTCCCCTTAAATTGCAGTTTTATTATTTCCTACCAGAATTTAGTCTCTTAATAAGGAACAGGCAGATCAAATTGAATACCTGCCTTATTTTTTTTTTTCCTCCTTTCAAATTGCTCTACTTTAAAATGCTTTGCTTGCTGAGTAGGCACAGCTTGTGTTTAAGTGGCCCTTCTCAGAGCAGGGGTTAAAGGTTTCTTTGGGAGACCCGTGTTTTGAAAAGAATGGCTTCATCCTGAGTTGTGTCAATTATAGAAAGGTCACTCTCCACAGCCAGAGCCCTGAAATGGTTGTTGTGTTAAAAGCTGTCAGAGGCTTTTTCCTAAAAACTGCTGGGATAGCAATTTTAACTTGGACATAAAAAGAAAGGTGAGGTAGAAAAACTTTTCACCCTTCCCTGCTCTAGGAATTTGTCTTCTCGATATTCCTTGTGTTCACCCAAACCTGTCATTCATTTAATTCCACTGTGGAAGATTACTTGCCTAAATATTGTTCTTCCTCCTTCCCCCACCTTTTCAGCATTTCAGCAACTTTCTACAAAATGTCAGAAGAACAAGCAAACTTTTCCAACATGCTCTGAGGAAAGCTAACTGCAGCAATTGAAGACATAACCAGCAGTTCTGTCTCCTTGTCTCCTCTACAGGAGGTTACCACTCCCAAAACAGCATCTCAGCCTCCTCAAATGTGCAAAGCTAATTAGAGTGGGGCTGACATAAACTGCCAGAATTTGCACTGAAGTGCCCCAGGCAGATGAGCCCATTCCAATCCTGCAGTCCTGCTGCCCTATATTTGCACAGAGATGGCAACAAAAAGCTGCAGGGAGGGAATTGGGAAAGGTGTTAAAGCCCTGCAGTTGTCTGCTAAATGACCATAATTGCCGACCTGAGCTCTTCAAGTTCCTGCCCAAAACCACAGGGTCTCTCACCTGTGCCCAACCTGGAGGCAGTTCAGCAGCAATGAAAACCTTCTGCCTTTCACTTAGGGATGTGCTGCTCATGCACTTTCACCTACAGCCAGTCAGAGATGAAAGCCAAACCAATGAACACTTGTCTAAAAATTTTCAGGTTTTTGGCACTATCAGGATGTAGGATTTCATGACAAGGAGGAAGCAAAAACTAGATCCTCCATGGAAAACATGAAGAAGCTGAGGTGCAGCAGCCTTTATTGAAAAAAAAGAAGCAAATCCATTAAATGATCAAGCTCATAAAAGAACAACTCGGTTTCCTTTCCCAAGTCTATTTTAACTGATTGTTTTCCCAATAGAAGTATCCATTGTCAGCATTTGCTTCTAACACTTGCTTTGGCAATTACCAAGTTTCACATGAGACACAGGTCCTGAGTGCAAGGCAGTGCTCAGCCCCTGAACAGAATTCAGAGACATTTCAGCTGACAAAAATCAAGTGCTCAGACTTCTCCTGTTCCAGTCATGCCATCCACCATCCCAGCCCACTAAAGCGTAGGAGGTGCTTTGTCTGATTGTAACATTCTGTTCTGCCTTCTCCCCATAATTTTTATAATAACCAGAGAAGACCTCACTGTGATGTAGCAAAGAAAACCCCTGAACCTCATCAGCAAAAAACATTCCATTTAAATGATTAAAATCCTTTTTGTGACATGTAACTTCTCTGTGTTTTTAACACAGGTTTTCTCAGTTTAATAAAGTGTTTCTGGTTCTAGGTTTTACTTATTTTTTCTTTCCTCTGCCATGTCTTTGTCATCCTCCTCCGGAACACAGTTTTTCTTTAAGAAAAAAAGAAACCATTTGTTGTCTAATTTCTCACATTAATATCGCAAGACAGACCATTTACCATGGGTCAAATTCTGCTGTCCTTAGTGTTTGCTATTAGAATTCACTGAGAAAGAAGAACCAGGGATGTGGTCCGGGCTGCAAACCAGTTCTTGAATTCTCTCAAGCACTACAATGGTTGCTTCTACTAAAGCTTTTCACAGAACCCCAGACTGGATCAGGCTGGAAAGGATCACAGTGGGTCAATGTGGTCCAACCCCCCTGCTCCAGCAGGGTCATCCAAGAGCACAGGGCACAGGATTGTGTCCTGAACGTTCTGGAATATCCCCAGTGAGGGAGATTGGGCCAGTATGATCCAGTGCTTGGTCACTGCACAGGAGTTCTGCCTCATGTTCAGGTGGAGCTTCCTGAGCACCAGTTCCTGCCCACTGCCTCCTGTTCTGCTGGCTGGGACCACTGTGAGGAGCTTGGTCCATGCTCTGAGCCCTCCCTGCAGATATTTACACAATTAATGAGGTTCCTCGCAGTCACCTCTGCAAGCTGAGCAGCCCCAGCTCCCTCAGCCTCCTCTTTCTTTGGGATCTCTAAGCTATGCCTGGAAAAACAGCATGTAGTAAACATAGCACATTTCTGAGACCACTCTCCAGTGTCCTCGGCAGCACAACTTCACTGGCGATAAACCAGAATCTGCAGGATTTGGTGTGACCATGGGGCGTGCTGAGAGCCATGGGAGGGAGACGATGGGCAGCATTTTGGGGCAGTCTGTGGGGGTTTGGTGGTGTTTTGGGCTGTATGGTAGCATTCTGGGGTGATTTATAGGGGTTTGGTGGTGTTTGGGGCAGTTGGCCAGCATTTTGGGGAGGACTGTGGGGGTTTGCCATTGTTTTGGGGTGGTTTGGTGGCGGTTTGGGTAATTTGTAGGTTTGGTAACATTTGGGGGCTGTTGGTAGTAGTTTGGTGGCTTTTTGGGGTGTTTTCTGGTGGCTTGATGGCATTTTGGGGTAGTCTGGCAGCGTTTTGGGGTGGTTAGGTGGGGTTTTGGGGCAGTTTGTGATGGTTCATCTGCGGGTTTGGGGCACTGTGGTGGTTCAGGTTTTGGGGCAGTTCGGGTGGTGTTTGGGGCGGCTCTTGCCAGTCCATCTGGGGTTTTGGGGCTGTTTGGGTCAGTTCAGCTGGGGTTTGGTGCAGTTTGTGGCAGTTCAGCTGGGGTGTGGGGCACTTCGCGTCCGTTCGGCCGGGCCGGACCAGGCCGTGGTGGGGGCGCGGCGCGGACCCACCTCTGCCGGCAGGGGGCGCGGGCGGGCCGTCGTCGCCGGGCGGGCGCAGGCCGTTGCTGAAGGTCGGCGGCTCGGCCGGCTGCAGCTGCCAGTTGAGGCCCAGCAGGTGCATGGCTGCGGACACAGGGACAGACAGAGGTCAGCGGGGACTCAGGGACACAGACGCACAGACAGCGAACACAGGGACACAGACAGCGGTCAGCGCGGCCGCAGACACCCGAGCGCCCCGCGGGAATGCCCCAGAGCCACTCGGCTCGGAGGGATGGGGATGTGCTGACAGAACCGGCAACAGCAGCAAAAACCACCCCCTTCCCCCCATAATAAATAAACAAAAGCGATCCCTGGTGATTCACGCGCATCTGTGTGGCACTGAAATACAAAAAGCAAAATGCTCACAGCTCTGGGCAGAGCCGGCCACTTTCCTGACTCACACGGTGCGGGGACACATCTCAGGAAACAAAGCACTTGCTGCAAGTACCAGCTCCGAGTTTAAATTATAGGTGGTAATTTATATGTTGATTATAAAATTGGCTTTAGCCCTGTGTAAAGTAGTGACTTGGTAATGCAATTATTCTGTGTTTAGTACAACTTATTTAAATCAATACATTAGGATAATAGAATCACGCAGAATGGTTTGGGCTGAAAGGAACCTGCCAAGATCATCCAGCTCCAATTCCCTGCCATGGGCAGGGACACCTTCCACTGTCCCAGGTTGCTCCAAGCCTTGTCCAACCTCACCTTGAACACTTCCAGAGCTGGGGCATCTCCAGTTCATCTGGGCAACCTGTGCCAGGGCCTCATCACTTTGACAGAGATTAATTTCTTCCCAGCACCCAACCTGCCCCTACTCTCATTCACTATGGAGCCATTATAGATTCTCTATCTTCATTTTGTAGACTGAGCTTCCCTGACCAAGCCGGGACCGCTCCAATCCTTTCACCTCCCAGATTTTTGACACCACTGCCCCAAATCCCGTACAACCCTGGGCAGGGCAGGCATGCCTGCTCACAGCCATGGCTCTCCAGCCATCCCTGTGCCAGGGACAGGTCCGTGTGTCCATGTCAGAGGCTCTGCAGCTGCACCTGCAACTCGAGCTGAGCAGTGGGAGCGAGGCCAAGCACGCCCTGCACAAGTGCCTGAGTTATAGGCACTGTGGCAGGGCTAATTGAATAAGTCCTGTGCATAATGCATGAGACTTGACAGGTCTGAATCATTCAGCCAGTGGATTTATGTGCATCTTCACCTTGTATAAACACAGCTACCTGCATACTCTCATCACATTATCCTCATGGCACTTTCAGTACAGTAGAGCAGTGGTGAGGGATAAAACCCACCAAGCTGCTGCTTTCCTTTTCTTTGCATCTTTCTGCTTACACAGGATGTGTGTAACCTATATACCACAGAGAACAGCATTTCCAGTTATGTCAAAAGGTGTTTGAGAGGATTCACTGCCAATTTGCAGGCAGGGAAAAAAAATATTGTGGGCACCCTTAGAATTGTTCTATTCTGCAGTGTCAGAGCCACACAAGATTATCAGATATTTTGCATCCAATTCAAAGTGATTATAGTGGTTGCAAATAGCCCATCAGTGGCCACACACTCTGTTCAAAGACTAAATCTTAGGGATAGGAGAGACAAAACACTCCTCACAGAAACTGCCATTTACAGTGCTGGAGCCACCACTGAGATAACCTCAGAATCCATTTAGATGTGAGTGATTCACATGTGCATTCCTAAGCCCCAAGAAAACAAAAAGCATCCTCCACCACCCCCAGAATCCATCTTTCCCAACCCCTGGAAATCTCTCAGCACGCAATCTAGGCAGAGTTTAACCTCTGTATTTTTGACAAAAGCAGCAGGGGATCAAGATATCTTTCCTAACACCACCTTCCCCTGGACATCCTATGGCTAATGTCTGAGTAGATATCTAAGAATAGTAACTAAAATCAGGAGACCTTTTCTGTGAAGAGGGCAGCTGCCAGATTTCATATTCATGCTGAATTTGCAAGTTTTGTTTCTATTATGTCAAAATAGCTCACAAAAACAAACAAAAAATACTTTAAAGCCTCACATACCAACTGAAAAGGATGTTTTGCAAAGAAACTACTCAAAATTTATTTCTACATAATGTTTAAGAATCCTTGGAAAATAGACAATAAATTTATATGGGATCTAATTATTTGTTCAATTACAACTTAGTTGTCTTGCCAAAAAAAAACACTTAAAAGGATTTTTCGCTCTAATCTCAAGCAACCAAATTTTTTTTTTTTTTTAAGTATGGCAAATAAAACTGAAAAATCATTCACAAGGCTCAAACCCCACCAAAGTGCACCTTATTCCCACTGAGCAGAGGCAGCTGTGCTGGGGCTGGGACAGCAGAGAGCAGCTCAGGATGTGTTTGTGCTCTCAGCAATTCCCACTCCTGGCACAGGCACCAGATTCAGCTGGACCAGCCCCGAAAGCCAAGAGTGCATAAAGATTAAGTGAATTTCAAAGCCCCACAATGCAAACAAGTCACAAAGGAGAATCAGACTTTTGTGTTTTATACTCTCAGTGTGTCTATTCAAAGTTGCCTTTTTTTTTTTTATTTTACTGTGAGCATAACCATAAATGTAGGTCACTTGCAGAGATGAAAGCCTGCTGCTTCAAGTGTGAACCAGTCTTTACAACAGAGAGATAAAAAAAATCACAACTAATAGTCTGTCCAAGAAAATTATAGTTGCTACCTTATAATTACCAGGTAAATTCAGACAGGGAATTATAAAAGATCTTATTAACATGGTATTAAAAACTACCTGTGATCCATCTGCTTCCAAGCACACCATGGTTTCATTAATAACTGTGTTTTAATCATGGATGCACGTGAGGTAGGAGCAATTAGAGCTCCTTCCTAATGGGGCAGATATTTGCAGGTCTGCTCCATCCCTGGTGGAGGCTGAGAATCTCCTGCACAGCTCCCACACCCGTGAGGTGATCTGTAAACTTCCACTAAGACAGCTGCAGTCACAAACACCAGGAATGTTCCCTTTCCACCAGGAATGAGTGGAGAAAAGTGTGTCACAGGGGCCTGAGGGGAAAGCTCTGCGTCTGCACTGCACTGAGCAGAGAGCAGAGCTGAGCAGGGGGAACGAGGGGAAACCTTCTCTCTGCTGCTTCACAACGCTGTGAGATGGCAAATTTATATGATTAACCTTTCCTTCTGTTAATCAAACAAAATGCCTCCAGCAAAGGAATAAGTAGAAGCCCGTTTAATTAGAAATGTGGGGATCCACACAGAAGTTGAGTGCATGTGTCTCAGAGGAGAAATTTGGGCTAGTCAATTTGTGCCTGTTTGCTGGTTTTGCTGCTTTTCTTTTCTAGTTTGAAACTGACTTTGCTTTTTTTCCCAATGACAATTTGTGTATTCACAAATTACATTTTTGCAGAGTACTTACAGGTATTATTTTTCTGTGTTTGCTTTCCTCCACCTCAACAATTAAGCATATTTTCAAAGCTCTTCTATATTCAACTTGATTTTCAAACACTAAGCTTGTCAGAATGCATAGAGTTCATTTACACTAATATCTACTAATTCAGAATAGTGTATTTATATTCTTTAAGACATGATAATTCAGGAACAATAAATTTTGAAGAAAAACCTTTGAGGTTTAAGTAAAAAATAATAATCAACCCCTCACTCCCCCTCTAGCACCATACAGATACAGAGAGCAAAAGCACCTGGAAGCTAAACCTGCATGCCCAGCAAGAACAAAAGCAGAGACCTGGCTCATCACTCCAGGTGGCAGAGCTGCCAAGGATCAGTCTAAGACTTACATAAGATAGAGGCTGCTAGAGTGAATCACATATTATTTTAAGAAGTCCCAAAAGGTAGACAAATCCAAAGGAAATTGATAGAACTTACACGCAAATTATATTGAGATTCTCTAAACTCAGTGGTGTCCTCACATTCCTCTTTCATTGGTCTTCTCTCATTTTGGCCATGAACCCACTGCAGTCAGAGTTTTGTCTGAAGGACAGTGGTTCCCAAGCTCAGGAAGCTCTCTGTCTTGTCTTTGTGCTCTTGTCACTTTTGACCTTGTAGTTCTAAAAGGAGAGCTCTGGTGTCTTTGGGAGTTGGAGATCTCCCTGTAGTGCAGCTCAGTGTCTGCAGAGCACAATGAGGATTTTCACTTTTTCCTTTCCTTGATTTCTTAAAGGGAGAAATATGCAGGCTGATGATCCATCATCTCCCCCATTCCTATTGCATCCTCCCAGTTAGGGTCTGTAAAATACACACTGCTTCCTTGTTGGAAAATTCAATATTCCCTAAGCAACTCAAAAAGATGGGAAGATTATACAATTGGAGAGAATTAAGGATGCTTCCATACTTTAATTTCCAACTATCATGCTTATTAACCCCTAAATTATCATCATCCACAATGAAGCCATCAAGCATGGCTTTGTCAGGATATATCCAGTGTCTGTCTAGAGCAGGACAATCTCTTTTCATATGAACAAGAGATCACTCCATTAAATCATGAACAACATGAACAAACATACCCTAAAAGCCCATTTTCTGTTCCAAGGCCATTGTGTTATAGGAGCAGAAATGTTCAAAGTTTCCTTCCCATCCACTCATGAGGTGAATGATGATGCAACTCTTGTTATTTATTATGTAGTTTTCAGCAACATCAAATTAATTTCCAAGCCAGGTCTAATGAATCACAGACATGACGAAACAAAAGGTACCTAATAAATCTTAACATAATGGTAATTTTATAGCATCTATATTCACAGAGCTATTTGCACATCTATGTTTCATATGCTCTGAACATTGTTTTAATGCACTACAATGTTTGTATGAAGCAAAGGTTATCTAGTATTTTGCAATTCTGGGTCCATATAGATGGGTACCCAAAGAACCTGAAAAGAATAAATGTATTCCCCTCAAAAAATTGAAAAATAATTGAACATTATTGCATGCTTACTTGTATTAAATCTTACTAAGATGAAACTCATGGTCCTTTATTAGTTACTACTTCTTGATCCTGCAGGAGAACTTGAGGAATACCAGAAATTCATCTTACTGATCTCAATTATTATTCACAAAATAACAGTTACTTAAAAGATTAGAA